GAATGCCCAGTTTGACTTGATCGTCGACCTTCTGGTACTATTCTTGGACACTATTGTTCACGAACCCCGCTGGGATCGCCAAAACCCTGTCTGTTCCTGTTTAAATCAACGAACACCATGCCGTTGGGTACTTTGGAACTCTGGAGGCTAGACCGACCCTATGCTTGAACATTGTGGAGCTAATTACTGGGTTGACTTTTATTGAACAACCCTAGAGACAAACTTTATCCCCATGGCGTTCCCATCCTATTCGTGAGATCTGAGAGCTGTCTGAGGATATGTTGAATGCATAAGTTAAATAATATATTGTATGAGTTATGGATTTTTATGTGGTGTTTAGTGTTATTTTAAAACCAGAATATTGCCTTCACCTGGAGATAATTAAGTTACGGTAACCATTTAAGCCACAATTATCTCCAGGATAGAGGGGAGAGTTTGAAAAGATGCACTTTGTTCCTATTGGTTATTGTCCCTTGTAACACTGTGTACCATCAGGTCCAGAGGGGTGTGCCTCTTGCCTGAAAATGTGTATGTAAGTAATGCCTTTCCATTCAATAAACAAGACTTCTTACCCTCAACTCGCAGCCTCGACTCGTGTTGTAGGGAAATCACTAGCTCTGTTCATTGCTTCAGGGATACTTTACACTTGCAGAAAGATCGCTTTTACAACTTGCAGAGTGAAGCAACAGTCTCATTCAAATATAAAACTTTCAATGAGACAGTTGTCTCAAAGTAATGCATGTCTCTTTAAGTAGTCCATGTTAAAGCATTGATTAACATAAAAGTAGTGTGTGGCCTGAAATAAATCAGTTAGCTCCCAGAACTATGTTTCGCCTGGTTACTGGGAGAATGGATGTCTGCTTTTTTTAATGGTTCCAGTCTGGCTGAGAGAAGGAGTTAGTGGAGGTAACCAGTCGGGTTACGTGTGGTCTGCTACATCTGGTAGCAGCATTCGGATAGCTTTAACTAGCCGAACAAACCACTGAACAAAAAGTCAAACCAATTAATGACCTACACGGCTCTAAAGCGAAAGTACCTCAAGGAATTTTTGGAAGCCTGAGGACAAGTTGCCAGCAACCATTCAAAGGCTGACCTAATTGCAGCACTCATAGTGAGTGATGGAGTCAGCAATGGTCCCGCTGTACCGGCAGTCAGTGAATAGTGATGTCGCGAACCCGAAATTTTCGGTTCGCGAACGGCGAACGCGAACTTCCGCAAATGTTCGCGAACCGGCGAACCGGGCGAACCGCCATAGACTTCAATGGGCAGGCGAATTTTAAAACACACAGGGACTCTTTCTGGCCACAATAGTGATGGAAAAGTTGTTTCAAGGGGACTAACACCTGGACTGTGGCATGCCGGAGGGGGATCCATGGCAAAACTCCCATGGAAAATTACACAGTTGATACAGAGTCTGGTTTTAATCCATAAAGGGCAGAAATCACCTAACATTCCTAAATCACAATCAATATGGATTGACACCTGACATATGACATATTGACACCTTGACATATGGATTGACACCTGTCCTCAGAGCCCCTGATGCACACGGACACAGAGCAGAATGAGAGACTGGTCCCCGCGGGGATGCTTGCAGCACGAATGTGGACACCTGTCTGGGATCCTGATGCACACTGACACAGAGCAGAATAGGGACTGTTCCCCCTACATCGGGTCACTTGGCAGATATGGATTGACACCTGTCCTAAGGTTCCCTGGTACACACTGACACAGAGCAGAATAGGGACTGGTCCTCCTACATCGGGTCACTTGGCAGATATGGATTGACACCTTGTTACAAACTGCTATTTGTAACGGGCCCTTTAAATGGCAAATTGCCATGGGTTGTGGAGAAGCCTATTTGCCAGCCTCCTCCCGCATGACTATGGCCCGTGGGAGATTGTGAAAATGTATGCACTTTTATTTGGTGTGTATGGCCCTTTA